TAGCTCTATAGAGCTAATGCTACATTAATTAGCTCTAGAGCTAACATCATTTATATTAGCTATGGAGCTAACATCATGTATCACAGTGAATATAGTTCAAGACCTGATGCTCCATTAATAGCTCCAGAGCTAATTCTACATTTATTAGCTCTAAAGCTAATGCTATATTTACAAGCTCTAGAGTCTAGAGCTAATGCCATATATAGTAGCTAATAGCTTCAGAGCTAACCCTATATATATTAGCTCTGAAGCTAACACTATATATTGCTATATACTAGCTCAGGAGCTAACTTGAAAGCTAAAAGACCAAAGCTGAGGTCCATCATCATTTTCAGTTGTGAGTTGAGTCATTTCTACATTCTTCTCTCTGTCAATGTTCTCCAGTTTATTTTAAAAGGGCTAAACGTCAAACAATGTTCAAAATTAATGTTAAKGCTGTATAGAGCTCTCACRGGAGCAAGTAGTACACGTCATTTACCCAGAATGCTTTGCYGCATAAATAACATGGTGTACATGTGACAATATATTATTTTTAATTTATAAAAAAAAGTTTAGATCCTACAGTATTTTAACAGTCTTTCTTTTACAGTTGAATTAAATGTTTGTCAAATAATGTCTGATTTTATAACTAGTTGGAGTTCCCTTTAAGGGTAGCTGGCTGTGGTGGCCATTTTGAAATGGGTTGAATTTATGAGCTGAACTTTCTGTTACGGTACGTTTTTAACGCAACGGTGCTGTGAACAACCGCCTCATGGCTGCTGCTGGTACTGGCTCTCTGTGGCCGTGTAGAAATCCTCCAGGACGCTCTGCAGGTAGTCGAAAGTGGGCCGATCCTCGGGCTTGTTCTTCCAGCACTCCAGCATGATTTCATAGAGTTCAGTGGGACATGACTCCAGGCGCTGCATTCGATAGCCCTTCTCCAAGGAACGGATCACCTCTGGGTTAGTCATCCCTGGAAAAACAAACCGAACAGTGTCAAAATTTGTGCAAGTTTATAAGTTAAGTATAGTATAAGTTTGGAAATCGAGGAGGTTTTTGAAGATCTTCTCACCTGGGTATGGTGTGCGTCCATAGCTAATAATCTCTGTCAACAAAATCCCAAACGACCAGACGTCAGATTTTATTGTGAAAGACCCGTAGTTGATGGCCTCAGGAGCCGTCCATTTGATGGGGAATTTAGCTCCTGGTTGTTGAGGAAAATTGAAAACCCAAATTAAATCACATCAACCAACATAAATACAGTTTTATTTTTTATAACTGCAAAGAAGTTCCCCTCTGAAGGTCTGAACAAGTTATTTAAAATTTTTACCAATGGTGGGCCTAATCCYCTAACTAAAAATCTAGCTTCGCTAACACTAAACAGTTAAACGTGTAAAAAAAAGTTAGCAAATGCTAACTCTCAACAGCTAAACAAATAAAATTAGTGAAAGTTAGCACTGACAGCTAATCCCTATCACTCAGTCTAGCTGAAGACTGGTGAGACTGACATAACCTGTTCATGTTAGCTTGATAGTTAGCCATTAGCAAACTTAAAGTTGGCAAAACCTAATTTAACGGAAGCTAACTGGGTCCTCTAACAGATTTTTAAAGTTAGTGAAAAAGCTAATCCGCTAAACAAAAAATGGGCTCCGCTATTAGCTGTTAGCTATTTAGCAGAYCCATGTCTACCAATGTCTCTTACAATCATTTTATTTTACTAACACATTTTAAATACCCGATGAGGAATCTCAAGTTAAACACAACRGGTCTCAAAATGTTGCAGAATAATCTGGTCCATTCGTTTATCACATCTAGGCTGGACTATTTTACTTCTTTATAACTGGGCATCCAAAAAACTCTTTAAAAGGCTTCAATTGATCCAAAATAGATGTCATTTTTGGTATTTGTTTTGTAAATTCCTGYTGATTGTCATTGGTCGAGCATCTCAGACGTGTTAGGGGCGTACCTTCCCTGGCTGTGTACTCATTGTCCTCAATGATTCGAGCGAGCCCAAAGTCTGCGATTTTGCAGACCAGAGCCTTATTAACCAGGATGTTGGCGGCTCTTAAGTCTCTGTGGATGTAGTTTTTCTGTTCGATGTAGGCCATGCCTTCTGCGATCTGAAGACGAACCATTTAACAGAAGGAAATAAATAAAAGTTCACGTTATCCCCCTCCGTTGCCCAAAAAACTGCCTCACCTGAGCCGAGAAGTCGATGAGCTTTGGGAGCTGGACTCTGTTCCCTTCYTCGCTCTTTAAGAAGTCTAATAAACTACCTGCAGACACACACATTTTAACAAACATTTGTAGACGTCAATAGTGGGACACGGTCATAKGTTAAATATCTTTGAGTAGGTTGAGTCAGGTCCTCTGGATGGGTTCTTCTTTGTCGAAACATTTCATCTTTTATCCAAAAACCTTCTTCAGTCTGAGGAGTTGGAGGCAAAATGAGCTTCATAAACAGTACCGTCACAAAGTGGATCAGCCAGTTTGTTGGTTGGTTGGTTGGTTGGTTGGTTGGTTGGTTGGTTGGTTGGTTGGTTGGTTGGTTGGTTGGTTGGTTTACAGGCAAACAGAGGATCAGCAGCCTATTGACTGATCGTTAGAGCTTAAAAAACGAAAGGTTTCAACAAAGAAGAACTTATCCAGAGGACCTGACTCAACATTTTTGATTCTGTGTGGATTATTGAGAATGCATCAGGACTTTAAGTAGACTCTTTAAAAGGAGCAGACTTTAGTAGCTTAAGGGTCAGAGCGCTGAGGTCCCCTCCTTCGGCTGCCACCTTTAGCACTTTGACCCATGTTGCTCCCCCTGAAGGTGGAGGCCCAACATGGGGATGAAACCATGTAGCGTACCCAAACCAAACCCCACGGGTAGAGGCCTGGTAACCACATGCTCACTGATGAGCTCTTCCTCCAGGTCTGGCTCCAGGGTAAACCTAATTTAGTTGAAGGACATCGAGATCCTAGTCGTCTTCTGTCCATACAAGTATTGTGAAAAAGGAGTTTACTGGTTCATCTTCGTTTCTTCTGTAGTCACAAACTCTGAGTCATGACCAAGAGAATGAGACCTTGGATACAGGTGACCAAAATAAATTGATGGGTTCTAKCCCTGAAAGTCTCAGGACTTTGGTCGTCTAACCCAACGACTACAACAGGTCTCAGCTCTCAAAGTCTCCAAGTTCACAAAATGAAGCTCACCTTTTTCCATATACTCAGTAATGATATAAATAGGCTCCTCCTTGGTGACCACAGCGTTGAGTCGGACCAGTTTGTCGTGCTGTAGACTCTTCATCAGGTTGGCCTCCATCATGAAGGCTTCGACCGACATGCTCCCTGGCTTCATGGTCTTCACGGCCACCTTMGTGTGCTTATTATACGTAGCTAAAACAAACAACGGAACAATTACAGGATCAGTTTTAGGCTTCATCAGTTGGTCGATAAATATATTCTGCAGTGATTTACTGCCTCCTCACCCATCCAGACTTCTCCAAACTGTCCGGCGCCGAGTCTCTTATCCAGTTTTAGGGAAGATCTTGGGATTTCCCAGGCGTCTTTTTCCCATGGCTTTTCAGGTTTGGGGCTCAAACATGGAGATGTCAGGCTTTGGCAAAGACCATCTCCCTGCTCTGAATAAAAAACAGAAGAAGTGCTATTATTGTTGGCCAGGAGAGGGCAGCACAGAACAAGATACTGATTGAGCAGAAGTGGTTCACCGAGACAAACACCTCTGAAATGAGATTCCATCCTGTGATGGAGATTATTCAGTATAAATTGCTCTGACAGCTGTAACTCACTCTTGTAATGGCTGACCAGCTCCAGCAGGGTGGTGAAGGTGATACGAGGAGAAATGTAGAATCCTCCGTTGTCCAGCGTTCGAATTTTATAATGTTTCACCGTGTCTCCGGCCTGAGGGTCAAGGTCTCTGACGGACAGAGAGTAGCTGCCTGTTTGAGAAGACGAACAGAACAACAGTTATTACGTTTGATGCTTTCCTTTTTAAATATCCATTATTTGTGGTCACGTCAAGGCCTTCTTCCCAGAGACTCCCCAAGCTCCTCCTGGGGTACCCCTGAGGTGTTCCCCGACCAGTGAGGATCTATAATCCCACCAGAGAGTTTTGGATCTGCCCCTGGATCTCTTCCCAGTGCCTGGAAAACTGCTAAAGGAGGGCGWCCAGAAGGCAATCAGATCAGATGCAAAACCGCTAAACATGTAAAAAAAAAGTAGTGAAGGCTACAGCTAAAACCTTTTGATTATCTGTCCCTAGCACTGTGCTAAACATAAAAAAATTAACAGAAGCTAAAACTAACAGCTAATCACTAATCGCTAAGACAACTGTCACTCAGTCTACATCAGGGGTTCTCAAACTTTTTGGGTCTGGGGACTCCTCACAAGTGTGACAAATGTCCAGGGACCCCCTCATAAACCCCATGCTGTTTTAGAAATAATTTACTGTCATTTTAACCCCTAAATACTATGAGAATATTAATTTTTTGTTTGATTTAGTATGTTTGTTTTATTAGTGCATTGTTCCTCAAATTAATTTTTCAAATAAAATCCAAAATAACAATTGATTTAAAAAATTTGAGGACACCCCACCCCAAGACAGGGCTCATGGACTGCTGGGGGTCCTGGGACCCCAGTTTGGGAACCTCTGGTCTACATCACACATCTTTGTCTTCTGGTGGGACTGAAACAGGCCTGTTAATGTTAGCTTGTTAGTTAGCTGTAGCTGTTAGCAGACTTAAAGTTAGTGAAAAAGCTAATTCACTAAACAATTTTTTTACCCCCTTATTAGCTCTTAGCTGATTAGCGAAACAATGCATATCTCTGGTTTAGAGGCTTAACGTTAGCCGAACTATATTTTTAGTTAGCAAATCTTGGTTAGCTGTGCCCACTGGTTTTTGCACAGTGACGGTTTGTTTGAGGGTTATTTTTCAGTCTGTTTTTCTCTGCCTCTCTAGGTTTGCCATCAGGGAGTGAAAGACGCTGACGCGTCGTTACCGTAGAGACCACAACAAGTCACTGACAGCAGCTTTAACTTTTCTTCGTACAGTTCTTAGCTTTTAGCGGCGGTGGGTAGGAAAACAAAGATAAAGCTTTTGTTTACTCACCCTTGGTGGTCTCGCTGTCCCGGATCATGAAGGACCCGACTCGGTTCCCAGGGGCCAGCAGCTGCCTCTCTGCATCTTTCCGGCTCACTCCCTTGAAGAACCAGCTGAACAACAGGAAACAGGTGAGTCAGTACAGAAAACCTCTTAACGGCCGGCGTTCTTAACTTCCACTGATTGGTTTGTTTACGACTCTTTGAGTTTAAACGCTGTCAAACCTAAAACGTTTCACTAGTAAATGTTTTACGTTAGAGTTTGGACACTTACTCCTCTGCTTCCAGAGTATCTTTAGCTACATAGTTGCTCGGGATGAAGCCTTCCTGACCGGAGATGATTGACATGGCCTTCCACCACTCGCCTGATCTGAAGTGCGAAAAAGAAAACATTAAAAACTCAAATGTAGCAGAATTTTGACGAGGTCTATGTCAAGCTCTGCTAAAAAGCCTGAGTTGTTACACGGATTGTGATACTCCGAACGTTCGTCTCCACGTCTCAGAGCAACCAAAAGACCTGTTGTTAAACCGTAATACAAATACATTCATATGTTTGACATATATTTTCACCATTCCATTGGTCGGAGCCATAATTTATAGMAAAGTGTTATTCAGACGGTCATATTGTTATAGCTGATTGTCCCAGAACTACTTACTCTTCTAAGATTTTGAGCTTATCTCCCTTCTTAAAGCCCAGATCTCCTTCATGAATAGCCTCATAGTCGTAGAGTGCAATGGCAAGGTTCTCACCTGCGGCAATAAAACAAACAAACAAACAAACAACAGATGAAGTTTTCTGTTTACTCTTTAGGGTCATAATACAAATTGTTTTTATATGGAGGAACTGCCAAAACAAGAATGAATATAAAAATATGAACAACATACGTTACTTTGTAATAAAATGTAAGTGGATTTAGCATTTACTTAAATAAATACACATATAAAGCTGTAAGAAAATTTCATGTTTGAATTAATAAAGCACAATTATTTGCCTCATTTTGACATTTCTGTTAGCAACCCCACCAAATAAATATATGATGTTAGTTTATACGTTGTTAACGCCATGTATATGTATTAGCTCAGGCGCTAACGCTATATCACCATGTATATGTATTAGCTCAGGTGCTAACGCTATATCGCCATGTATATGTATTAGCTCAGGCGCTAACACTATATCGCCATGTTTATGTATTAGCTCAGGCGCTAATGCTATATCACCAGTATATGTATTAGCTCAGGTGCTAACGCTATATCACCATGTATAGGTATGAGCTCAGGTGCTAATGCTATATCTCCATGTATATGTATTAGCTCAGGCGCTAACGCTATATCACCATGTTTATGTATTAGCTCAGGCGCTAATGCTATATCACCATGTATATGTATTAGCTCAGGCGCTAACGCTATATCACCATGTTTATGTATTAGCTCAGGCGCTAATGCTATATCACCATGTTTATGTATTAGCTCGGGCGCTAATGCTATATCACCATGTATATGTATTAGCTCAGGTGCTAACGCTATATCACCATGTTTATGTATTAGCTCAGGTGCTAATGCTATAATGTATTAGCTCAGGCGCTAATGCTGGATCATCATTTATATGTATTACCTTGGGTGCTAAAGCTATATCACTATGTATAAAATATGTGTTATCTCAGGCGCTAATGCTATATCGTCATGTGTATTAGCTCAGCTCTGTTATCCTCATTCATCTTAATCGCTAATGTTACAAATAATCAGGGATCTCTAATACTTTTGAAAAATATTAAAAAGCATTTAAACATCGTATTTGAAACCTTGGTAGCTGCTAGCACTGTTAGCATGACTAATTAACAGTTATAGCGTAAACCTTTTTAAATCTGTTATGAACTCTTTGACAGCTCTACTTTGTGTTGAACAGTTTATAAYTTAACAGAAGCTGTTTTTTATGAGCTAAAGTTATGAGCTGAAGTTGAGAAATGAAACAAGGCAGGTAAACACTGAAAAAGTAAAGAAATACAGTTAATTTACTGAACATAAATTATATTCATCTCTATGTTTACTCTGGCCGTGTTCCCTTTTAATAATCTAGCTTTGTTAACCTGAAGTTATAAAAAAAAGTCACTTCCTAAAAAAAGAGCTTCTGTGTTCATTAGACTGTGACAGATTATGATGCAGATTTAATTTACAAATTGTTGCAAAAAGATAAAAAAAAAACCATATAAATACATATAATATCCTGGAATAGAAATAAAACTTTAAATGTTATCACTGGTTAATGTAATTGAATATATTTATTTTGGCAGTTTCAGTCCTCCGTACTTTTGCACTTTCRTTTGAAAAAGCAGAAATAACTATTTTAAAGATGTTGTTGATATCAGGTTATTTGTTCATGTCAGTTCTGGGAACACCACTTTGTTTCTTTTTTTGCTTCACGGACACTGGGTTCCCCTTCTGTCGACGCTCTCACTGACTTCCTTCTTTGCTTAATACTAATGTCAGAAAAGCTGATCTCTTTTTTTTTATAAAACTTTTTTGTACGTTCAAGGTTTTTGTGGCAGGGCAGTAAAAACGTGAAGTTTATCGCTTTACGCCCACACACCGACTCTCCTTCCACTTTTGTGTGGCGAAGCTGAACTGATCAGAAACAGAACACTCAAAGCACATCTAAACAAACAATTTATGGTTACAATAAACAAGTAAACAAACTCACTTTCAGAGGTTGTTGCGTTGGATTGCATTTTGCCCTGTAGAAAAAAAAACACTTTAATTCATTATTTTGTGTGCGTGCACATTCAAATAAAATTAAAACAAGCATTTTATTTCCAGAAAAATACACATTTATAACAACTCTTGACAACCAAACCACATTTAAACACCTTAACGTCATTTATTTATTATTTAGCTTTCACGTCAACACGTAAAAATATTTACGTCTTTTACAAAAGGTGACTTTCTTTTGTGGTTAACTTTGTTTATTTGTAGTTTGACTTTCAAAAAAGTGTGAAGATTTCTACATGTGATTAAAGTACAGCAGAAAGATTCATATGAAAACCTGCAAATTCAGAGAATTAATTAAAAAATCAACTTAGAAGGATAAAGTACTGC